AAGAGCAGAGCAGGAAAAGGGCTTGAATGAAGCAGAGATGTGGTGGAGAGAGAGCACTAAGGCAGGGCTGTGGACTGTCCCCGGAGCCAGGAGCCAGGTGTGTCCATCAGAGGACACCTGTGGGGCAGCAGCAGGAGGCTGTGCCCACCAGCCAGGCCTAGACAACAAGACAGCCACCTGCAGGGACTAGGGAGCCTCCACCAGCCGAGCTTCCCCAGCCCCCTCTGCGGTGGGCTGCTCTCACCTGACTCCTGTCCCATGGTCCCCAGAAGGTCCATGACAAGAGCCTGATCCTGTTTGGCTTCTTGGGCCATGGTCTCTTTCTGCCCTTGGAATCCTGGAAATGACCCTGCCTACCCCTCAGGTTTCAGTTTCGGCTCCAAATCCACATGTGTGGGCACGACACCAAGCAGTCATAGAAGGATTCCAAGCAAAGCAATGTGCATCGATGGCCAGCTGGCCTTGCCCATATGTAGAACAAGTACTGGTAAATGGCAGTGAGGAATATACATGAGTTTGTATATTCTATATACATGTGAAAAGTTAAAAACAAAACATGAACTTGTCTCTGGCACCTCCTATCAGATTATTTAGGGAGGGTCACACTAAATTATGTTTTTTCTCTACTTCTAAAATTTATAGGTATACTAATTTAGCATCATTCAGACACATACACACACATTTTTTCTTCATGTTTTTGGGCTGTATATTACATCTCTAATCCAGACATTTCCTTTCATCTCCAGGCCCACTTATTCAACTGCTCATGCCTCCACATCTCCTCCAGGACATCTGTAGGCCCCTCATACTCACTACATCCCAAACTGAGGTCATGACCTCTGTTCTCCATTCATTCTGCTCCAACCCACAACCAAACCTGCAAACTTGTTCCCGCCTCAGTGATCCAGATCTAAGTAAACAGCACCTGGGGACTCGAGCTAAGCACCTGGGAGTCATTCTACATTGTACTTCCTTCCTCATTCCCATGTCCAAGTCCTCTTGAGTCGACCTCCTGAAAATCTCTCACATCCATCCCTACAGACCTGCCATGGCACCCCACTGCTATGGCCCCGGGTCTAAAAAATGAAGCAAGATCTGTCCCTGCCCAGGGTGGACTGTTTGCTGGTTAGACAAATACAATAGTCCCTAGTAACCAATGCCACCCTTTATATTCGTAAGACTACTGAGGTATTAGGAGGGGAGAGCATCATCATCATCATCTTGAGAATGTTGCATAAGCATAAAGTGTCTTCCACTGGCTACCTCTTAGGTGGGCAAAATGAACACTGGACGGCTTCATTACGATCGTGGCCATGATTGCCAAGGAGGAAGTGAGACCTGAACCCTATTCTTTGCTTTAGGCCGTCTGAGAGCAGGCTGGCCAAAGGAAAACTCCTGGGCAGGGCCCAAGGTACCAGTCATGATTCAAACCTGAGCAGCCTTAGGCTCCCCCACATCACCAGAGCAATAAAGTGCAGCCATTATCATATGTTCCCTGCCTAGAAGATTCCGGAACAAAACAGCCTGGGCGGGGGGGTGGGGGGGAGGGGGCTCTTAAAAATTCCACCCACTCCTACAACTGAGGTTGACAGAAAAACAAACCAAAAAAAGGCTCCTCCACGAAACGACACGTGGAGCAGCATCCTCTGAGAGATGCGGCTCAGAAAGCTCAGGTGTGCAGGGTTTGCTCCTTTCCCGTTAGACACGTGGGAGCATGTGGATGAGAGCGGTCGGCGCTGCAGGGGGAGGCTGAGGACCACAGCTCCAGAAGCGTATCCGGCCTCTGCATGCGGGTGTGCGGGGAAGAGTACAGGGGCGTAAACACCTAAGCTGGTGGGTGTTGTCATCTCAGCTGGGGCAGACAGCGTTCACAATTCCCATTTCCAACATCCGATGCACCGTTAGGATGCTGATGATGCCACAAGGCTAGGTTGAGAGCTCTTTCTAAGTCTTCCCTGGACAAACATGTGAAACAACCCCGGGTTTCAAATCCTCACTGATAATTTACTGCACACCAGGTAGTATTGTAGGCACGGGGGCTGCACCAGTGGCCAACACAGGCCACAAAAACCTCTGTCCTCAGGGAGCTTATGTTCTAGCTGGAGGAGAAAGACAACAGACATAATAAATAAGATCAAGTATATAGTATTCAGAGAGAGGAAAATAAAGATTAAAAGGAGGCATGGAAGAGGGTGGGGGGTTGTGACATATAGGCTCATCTTCTGCTCATCTTCCTCCTACACCGGCATTCTTGGTGGACGACAGCCTCGGCAAGCCTCTTGCTGCTGGAAAGCCCACTCCTGGCCTGTGCAGAAAAGGGGGCAGATGAGGGGACAGAAAGACAGAACCTGGGCACCCATAAGAGTGGGATTCAGCCTTGGGCATGGCTTTGCCACATCTTGCCCAGACCTACCTCGCTTTAGATGTCTATGCCCAACCTGGTTAATGATGTCAATAAAACCTGCCTTCCCTCTAGCTCATGGAATATATAGTGTTGCTAAGTCACATGGCCTATAAGCTGACCCAAATATACATTATCTTCAATTCTAACATTAAAAGTTCACACTTAGGCCTTTATGCTTCTGTCATCACCTGTTGGTTGAGCACCTATGTGCCAAACCCTGTTCTAGGCACTGGAGGTACCACAGTGAGCAAGACACACAAGTGTCTGACCCCAAGGAACGTACAGGATCAGGGAGGAGATGACAAATTCAACAACCGGTTAAACAGGACAGATAGTGACAAAAAGGAGACAGATAGCACTGAATCGTCCACGCACAAGATGATCAAGCCCTGGCCTTGGCAGTTCTCAGACAAGCAGAACTGAGCCCCTGTCTACCCGTGATTCCCTCCAAAGCCCTTTCTAGAAGGGTGCCATGGCAATAAATTGATACGAAAATCCAATTGTGGCTCCCGGGTCTTCCTAAAATGTTGGCACAGCAGCTTCCTTTTTCTCACTGAGAGTCTGTTGTGTGGACAAACACACACTTCCCTCCCCTGGGCTTTCTATTTTGTGAACTGCAAAAGTGTTATTTCGAGTTGTATAAATAAGCATGTGTTTTGGTTTCCAGAGTCTTTAGCAGCTTATTATAGCGCTACTGTTATGTTTCTTTAAAAAGTCGTAGTGAGAACCATAATTGTAGTAAAAAGAAAATATATATTATGTATATAATAATAACAATAGGCACAAGTCCTTTTCACCAATTAGAAAGGGAAGTTACAGCTCTCCCACGACTGCTGTTGGGCAGGGCGTTTCAGTAGGAAGGGTAGAGAGAGGGGTTCCAAACCACACATTTGGAGAAGAATGAATCAACCCACACCTTTTATGCTTAACAACACTGGATGCTGAGTGGATTTGAGAGACTAGAAAACAAAAATTCAGATAACATCACGCCCAATACCTTGGGGAGAGAAGCCTAACAGACGAGAGAAAGCTACAAGCGAGCTGTGAGGGATGAATTCAGGGATTCAGCCTGGCTGAATCGCCCAAATGCTCTCTCCAGCCGGAGCAGCTGGAGGGAGCTGGTGTGAACTGAGAAGCAGCCAGGAGAAGCAGTTTCTGAGGGTGGGAGTTCCTCCACCAGGGCTGGCAAGGAGACCCAGCATCACCACACTTTGACACTGTATACCTTGGACCCAGGCTTTGTGGATACAACAAACTTTCTGTGTGCACCAAAATACGATCAGATGTCATGTTCGTTCCGCATGACACGAGCTTACTGTAAACACCGCTCAGACCCAGGCGCTGTCGCCTGTGCCTCCAGCTTAAGGACAGCCTGCCAGCCAGAAAGAGAATTTCCAAGTAAGTTACAGCCCAAGCGTCCTGTTGTCTGGCCTGGTTTCCCGTTTAGAGCAATAGCAGCGAAGCTCATTAAGGTTGCTGAAGGAAGGGCTTTTATAAATTGCACTTTAAACAGGGACCCCCTTTAAAAAAACACAGACTACCTTGGCTCCCCTTTTGAACATCCCAGTTGGGATGCGGCCTCCCTAAGCTGGAACTAACCGAGAGCCGTGCCTTTTTTATTTGTTTTGTTTGGGCTTCTGTTCCTGCTTTCAAAAACAAACTCACTGCCAGGGTCCCCTCGCTGCCTAGAGAATGTACGTGCAGAAAAACTTTTTCTTTTCAACAGCACTACACATTTGATGCCAAATGCCCGAGGCAGTGTTTCTGGTCATTACGGAAGGTGTCTTTGGGACCTGCCCGGCCACCTGAGAAGCAAACTGTAGACATGCAGCCACCAGTGTAGCTTATGAACTTGTTTCCCAGAAGGCACCCCATAATTTCAGGACACCACCCTCGGTACTCAAAGCCAGACAGAGCCCAATGAAGTGAATGAAATTCAGAGATCTTTGTCCATCAGTCCAACTAGAAGCCTGGGGCCACTGTATTGAGAGCAAACACCCTATTTCACTGTTCAAAGATTATTAGGAAATCCTATATTGCACTGGCCCCCCGCTGTCTCCAAAATAGCCCTTTCTTTCAGTGACCATCTCCCTGCCAGAAAGAAGCCTAAGAAAATGCCGGAAGTTGAGCTAGGCTGGGACGAGGGAGAAGAGAATTTGGCAGCCCCAATGCATGTTGAAGTTGAACTATTGTTCAGTTCTTGGACCTCCTGACTTTGTTTGCAAGCACTCTGCAGAGAAAATTCTTTTTGTGATAAAAAAGTCTGTGACCTGAGTCCCCAAACTTTTCTCCCCGGGGGCACAAAGGACCAGAAACATCTCTGTGGGGACTGAGCAGCTACAAGAGAAATCTAAAGACCCATCTCCTTCCCCCAGAGAAAGCGTGACTTGGAAACAGCAAGGCATTTTAAGTCAGGAAGACAAGTCTCCCTCTTTAAAGGAAGGTAGCAGTGACTGTAATTCAGAGAAGCAGTTGTGGAACTTCTGGGCTGTGTGTGAAGGGCCCTGCAGGATCCCGGGAGCCATGTGAGCCTGGCCTGGAGTAGCATACTGACGGAGAGGGAAAGGGGGCAAGAGAAGGAAACAGCTCTACTTACAGCCCGCGGAGCCGAAGCCAGATTTTCTCGATCTGTTCGGGCTGCAAGTATTTCAGAGAGTTGCTCTCAAATTCTTCAATCTCCTTGGTCGGGGACTCCATAGCTGCAGGTGATCACTGGGAGTGAGGCTGAGAGAGTTCCGGCTGTCCCCTCCTCGCCTGTCACTTGCTCTGTGCGCTCCCCGGTCTGTGCGCCCCAAATCCAGCCTTAAAGCGGGTTGGGACTGCGGGCTACCCCAGGCCCGGATGCCTCGGGAGGGAGGCAGCTACGGTAAGCAGCCATGGTCCGGGGCAAGGTCGGGGATACGGACTGTGCTCCTAACTCGGGAAGAAAGCGCCTGGGATCTATTTGGACATGTATATATTTTTTTAAACAAAGCCACCGAAGCAATCAGTGTGGCAGCTGAAGGACTGGGGGGGAGAGGGAGGGCCAGGTGGGGAGGAGAGGGGGCGAGC